TTCATGCGCCAACGGGCTGGATTGTGTGACACTATCCCTAGTTCAACAAGCTCCTACGAAAATACTCTTTATTATATAGAAGATGAGTTTCAAATTTGAATGGACGATGTATGATGAAATAACCCGCTAAGTGCTTGAGATGTTAGAGTATAATGATAGGAGAGGCCTGTCTCTTTTAAAGTTGAGAAATAATAGAGCATATTTTATTAGATTTTTCATGTTCTATTCACAAAACTAGTATGTACTTATTCTTCATAAACATTATCTTTTGTCTTTATTAATTTTAGGCTCATCTCTCAATAACTCAGATGACTTTACAGAATATTGATACTACTCCTACTACTCTTAATGACTATTTTTACCGGTGACGGGTCCTCTTGTGAGCCTTCACGAGTAGGTACCACACCCTTGCTTATTTCTGCCGTGAAGCAGTAATGTGTTTCTCTTTATTGTAGTGTAAAGCTGTTACTTAAACTCATGACTCAAGGTGAATGGCGGCAATCATGTCATAGATGTCTATGGGCATCGATAACCACTTAGCACCAGTTGAGCCGTGAGCTCGTTCACATACATAGTTTAATATAGCTAAAACAGAAACAAAATAATAATAACGCAAACGAGTTTGCGAAAACCTAAGAGAAAACTAAATTCACATCTGTGTACATATTATTCTTTGATATCAAAACCATATTATGAATATAAGTACATCGAACTTATTTTACACAAAAATAGCCTTTAAGTACGGATCTTAAGGGTCACACAACAAACAGATTTATTGTAAACAGATTTTTGTTTTAACCCTTACAGCGGGAGGTCCGAAAAAGCCAGGTACCTACCAAGAAAATTTGAATATTTTTATGAAGGCACAATTAATTCATAGAAATTATGTAATTAATGTAATGGTATAATTACAACGTCATTATGTGACTGCTATCGTGGCACACAACATTTTTTCTATAAGATTTGAGTCTGTTAAGACGAATATTATATTATGTTTCGATTAATTACGAATTTATGATTTGTAATAAATATATGTAAATTAACAACTTCGCTTCCTAAAGCTGCTTCGTAGTGCTGAGATCGTGATACTAAAAGCGTCTCACTCGGGACCATTGACCAGGCTAGTAGAATTTTAATTCCATTATGTTGCCAGCTGTACAATGCGTTATTATATGCGTCTGGTGGTAGGACCTCTTGTGAGTCCGCGCGGGTACGTATCACCATCCTGCCTATTTCTGCCGCGAAGCAGTAATGCGTTTCGGTTTGAAGGGCGGGGTAGCCGTTGTAACTATACTTGAGACCTTAGAACTTATATCTCAATGTACGTGGCGCATTTTTGTAGATGTCTATAGGCTCCAGTAACCACTTAACACCAGGTGAGCTGTGAGCTCGTCCACCCACCTAAGCAATAAAAAAAATTAAAAAATATATTCTAGTACAGTTTATTGTAACTGTTTTATTGTATGTATTTCATCAGGAACTATCAGCATCATATTTTTATAAATCACGTCTGTCTGTCTAATGTAGACGAGCTGTGGTCCACGGTCCGAGATTATCTAAGCCTTACAAACCGATATCAGCTAATGCTTTGAAGAAACTGGCGCGCGGTAGGTATATACCACAGAAATTAAGCATTTTTTTAAGCTTGCGTATATATTTTTAGTACGCAATTTAATTGGATGAGATTCGTCAATATCTATTAGACACGTATGTCTGTGGAAAAGCCTGGCCTAAGAATTGTATCTAATAATCGCTTTTTTATATGCAAGTACCTACACCGGTATTTATTTCATCAAGCAACGACAGTTTTATACTCCAAAAATATCCTTATATGAATCCAAAAAGTGTGAGAGTTCCGGAATAGAAGCCACACAGCGTCTAGTTGAGACAAGGAAACGGATACGATACAATAATCCTCCTTTAGGACTGTATGGGTAAAGTATAAGCAGGAACATTTGATAACCAAACTTGTAATCTTTATAATTTTTTTTATGTAATTTTTATATTTTTTTATATTTTTTCCAGAATTTCTATAAATTAAACGGTTGTCTGGAAGACAGCTTTTAGCGATAACACTGCTTATTATACAAATGTATCTGCTTTTTTTATTGTTTTTGAATGTAAATTGTGTTTTGGTGTGCAATAAATTGTATTCTCTCTCTCTCTCTCTAATCTGGAATGTGCTGGTATTTTCGGTGCGATGTATTACAATAATTATTATGTTTAACACTTTTTTATTGCTTAAATGGATAGACGAGCTCAAAGCCCACCTGATGTTAAGTGGTTACTGGAGCCCATAGACATCTACAACGTAAATGCGCCACCCACCTTGAGATATAAGTTCTAAGGTCTCAGTATAGTTACAACGGCTACCCCACCCTACAAACCGAAACGCATTACTGCTTCACGGCAGAAATAGGCGGGGTGGTGGTACCTATCCGTGCGGACTCACAAGAGGTCCTACCACCAATTTATGATAGTAAATTACATTATGAAGACCGTTTTTATTTATTTATTATATATGCTGTGTATATTTTGTTTAGACATTTAATACATATTTTAGTTTTCCGTTTTCATCATTAACAATAAAGCGATGCATCAACCACATCACATAAGCCTCTATATAGCCCTTAGTGAGAACGATGAAATTTTGAAAATACGATTGAGTCTCTTAGGCTCTAAGTCTGCTTTACCCTTTGTGCACAAAGTAGAATGGAAATTTAAAATAATCTAATGTACATTGATGTGTCCCTCCGACAGGATTTGATTCAACTCAACTTATAATCATGAACTCATCCTATTGTGATTGGAATTTTTTGGAAGATTTCACTAAAATAAAAATAAAAATTGCTAAAAAGTCCCATGAAACCTAAATGAAAAAATGAAACCCAACCAACGAAGTATATATAACAAAATACTCATATGTCATCCAAACTATTGAACAATTCGTATAGCAAATTAGACTACTGCAAAAAACATTCTTTACAACAATTGTAAACAATTCTCTTTTCATTAGTTATTCAAAAGGTCATTGCCATTAAATCGGCTCGTGTAACTACCACGACACATCGTCGTTACAAAAAGATAATTACGATATATAGACATCATTGATTGTTTAATATTCTGCAGCTATTTTCTTCATTGCTTGTCAATATGGATACAAGTAAAAAGCGGACAAGGCATCTCATGAACTGCCGTACAAGATGACTACTCACGCTACTCATATTTGGTTGCATAAAAATCTACAGTTCGAACATTCAAAACAGAATCGTGTTGTTTGAAGTTTACTGCTTAATTTACCTTGAATAAGAAAGGTATGATCCAGCCTTTTATTTTACCGAGACGCCGAATTTAATTGGACGTAGCAAAGGTTTTTGAAGGGTTCGAAACGTGCAAAGATCCACGGGCTTTTGTCTGTATCAATTTAGTCTTTATCTTGAAGTGTTTATGAATCGTAATTCTGTATAAATATGCATCCGGTAATTTCCGGTATTCCGGTATTTTCGTGAATGCAACCCAATGACGTGTAATTATAGCAGATACAATTTATAAGAGTACGGTCAATACCGTCTTTACCTTAAGGGCACACGGGGCCCGTGCCCAGGGCCCCCATTCTCAGGGGGGCCCGCCCGAAAGACCGACAATCTCTCTCACACGTTTATTCTCAAAACATTTTTGTCGGGCACATTACACTTTTTTCACAAATCAGTAATCAGAAGGTATTTACAAGGTATATACTATGCCTATAATAGAAGATTTTGCTCAACAGAAATCCCGAAAGAAACCGTTATCGAAATCGTAACCAAAAAACCAGCAGCATTCTAATATCATTAATGATATATTATATCATACTGTATTTGATTACTTACAATAAATGGTCATACTCAGTAAAAAAATGTTATTATAATTCGATTTTTTTACTTTCTAAAAGGGCCTCAAATTCTTGTGTGCCCAAGGGCCCCATCCTAGTTTAAGACGTCCCTGAGTACGGTCCGTTGTAAATTTTATTTATTTTATAATTGTAGTTTTGATAACACCTATGCTACATATTCTAGAAGAAGATCAGTATTCAAAAGGACTTAATCTTGAGGCATTTTTATGAAGCATGGCTTTCCATTACTACGGAGGGAGTAGCTAGGGTGAAATTAATTAAAATTCTTTCACATATTGACGTTAAGTAATTAAAACATTAATTAAACATTATAAATAAATATAAATTGATTTCTCCTGAAATTGTTCGCTGGGTTTCTAAAGCTGAAATTTTGATTGTGTATTGCTAACGTTATTTAACTGGGTACACGCTTTTGTTGAAATAAACTAATCTACAATATTTATTCCAATTTACTTTCCTAAATAAGGTCAACAGAATGGTACGTTTTTATTTTGGTAAATCGGAAATTTTTGTGAATATTCTTTTCAGAACACGTGTAGTGAGGGCTGTGATATCTACGAGCCCAAGTACCAATTGAAATCAGATTTATCGAGAGCTCGTTCACTTATCTAGGCAATAAAATAAATATTAGTTTAAAAAAACTAACAAAATACGCTTTTATAGAAAATCCAACTAAAAAATTGAAAATAAATTTATATTAAAAATAGTGTAAAAAAACGTGGGTTGCTTTTCAGGATATTATGAAAATAACCCTTCTACTCAATCTGTTCATAAAATATTTATAACTACTGATACCATGCACCCCACGCTTTTTTTACAATAAAATCATTTTCTCTTACACTATTTTTAATACACATTTATTTCCTATTTTTTAGTTGAATTTTCTATAAAAGCGTATTTTGTTAGTGTTTTTAAACTATTATTTATTTTTTATTATTTTGTTAAATTTCAATTTTTTCAATTTTTAATATTTAATCCTTAATAAGTATACCAAATTTCGAGTTAATCCGACGTTTTGAAGGGGTTCAAAATCACGTTCAAAGATTCTGTTACATACATACATACGTCTGAAGCTAATAAAAACGTATTAAAATATCCCAGCACTTACCTCAATGCGCACTCATCGACGTCAGTTTCGCACAGGGTCCCCGTGAAGGTGGGCGGACACTCGCAGGTGTAAGAGTTAATACCATCGATACAGCTCGCTCCGTTCTGGCACAAATGTCCGGGGCAATCGTCGATGTCAATCTCGCAGTTCTGGCCGCGGTATCCTGGGACAGAAAAAAAAACGTGAATGCAATACCAGGTTTTTATAGCTTTTGATGGAACGATAGACCGTTAGACAATAGACACCTCAACGTTAATAGCGCAATGATATTCTAAAAACCATTTGGCTTTTAGTTGGTTGTTTTTAGCTTAAATTGGAATGCTATTTATTTTTTTGCACAGACAAGACAGACCTAAAAGTGTTATTTTATAGGCACGGGCTGCCATCAAATAAATAACCAATCCAACTGAGTTATCAACAACCAATATTTTCACCCGATACCAATCGGCAATACAATTTTATTCTCATACACTTTTAAAATTACAGACACGCGTTTTATATTACGTCACTAAAAACAATGGCGCACTAAGCGTAAACAGGCGACTTACAGGAAAAGGAGAAAACAATATTAACCAATCAAAAAGAAAAAACAGAACAGGCCGCCTAGAGAAATGATAAACTGGCCAACTAATAAATCACTGGAAATTTTCCAGAAATGTTCCAGATATGGTTAAACCAAACAACCTGGAGACATCTAATCTAACGTGGGATGACATCTACAGTTATAAACTTCTCTTTAGCACAACTGTAATAAATCAAATAGGATTTAATCATGTTTTTTGCACGCTACATTTCAGTAGCATCTGTTCAGCGTTCGTTGATGGTGGACAAAAAAAAAACGAGCATGTGAAAATAATTTTACTCATCTTATAATTATGACACGTAAAAAACATATCTAGGAATTATTTCTCGACATGTGTTCGGTATTGAGTCATGAAGTTTCATCGTTCACGTTATAAAATTTGGTTGAGCATTTGTTACGATTACCTTTGAAACCACTTTTCGGCCAAAAAAAGAGTTAAATTATCGTAAACATTTTTACAACTTCATTTCTGCAAACTTATATTTTAATAGAATTAAATTGCCTTTTCTGCTTGCCCTGTTATTTCTACTATTTCAGAATGGCAGAATATTTAAGCATGTTTGTTACGATTCTCAGAATTATCATCAACTGCCATTTTGAAAATGGGAATGACAAAGTTGGATACAAATTACTAAGAATTACTATCGTAGTTCAGCTATTTAATACTATATAGGGAGGAGTGGGCTTTGAGAGTAGTGGTAAGAGATCACAAACCAGTATTTTGTGATAAGACCCTATAGATAGATAGATAGATAAACTATTGTGAAGATCTGGTCACACAGACTCTAAAAGTTACCATAAAAAGTGTACGAAACAATAAAACAGACACTTTGAAATTATCAAAATTATGCAAACACAGCCACAATGTAAGCTTGTGTACCGATTAGCGCATGAAGTAACCTGATTAACTTCATTAGTTGAAGGAACGGTTCCCACGGCCACATGTGTTATGTGTTAAGATAAAAATTAACAACTGAACGGTTTTAAATCCTTCGACGCCTCTTTTGCGCTGTTTTATAAATAAACGAAGTAGCAAATGCGATGTGGATCGGGGCTTTCAGGGATCCTTTGTGAGAGGGGGAGACGAATGATCCGGCAATATTGTTTTATGTGTGAAAACTAACCAGCTGATCAAATCGGAACCAAAATTGGGACTGGTTTGGTTCCAAATGACTATTTAAAATCAAAATCCTTATAGTTACTAGTGATATTAATGGATGATGATATCAGAAATCACCAGACCATATCTTTCACCGTCACCCGAAACATGTCTTGTTGGATCCCCCGGATCCATGGTGTTTTTAGGCTCCTCAAGCACCGGTCACCGTCCGGTGTCAGAGTTCGACGAGGAAACTAACCCATGGACACAACGCTCTGAGTTTCTTGCCGGATGTTCTCAGTGGGTCGCGATTTCGATCCGGTGGTAGATTTTGGGAAGCACTGCTCTAGTGTCAGCAAATTCGTTCAGGCTGGGCCCGTAAGCTCACGTACCCCATAAGCTACTAGAGAATAGGATGAAAAAAAAGTAGCAAATATGGTGTGATAGGTAATGGAAATTTAAATATTAATCTTGGAAATTATTGATGAAAAAACTTACGATATTTATAATATTATAATATTGTTTAGAGAAGAAAATAGACGGTGAATTAGATATGAATGAAGAACTTTAGAATTTCTCAAAATTCATTCTACTACATTCTTAATATTTTATGATCCAAAACTGACGATACTACTTCTTAATTAACGTTTACAAGATTAACAATTTACGGCGAAAGAATAAAACCCATTGATTTTATTAGTAAAAATGTCGTCGAATTGCTTAATCGGTCGTTATATCTGAAATTTAACGGCTTTTTTAGAATTCATGGCGACATTATTTCAAACAAAATTAAGAAAGAACTGTTTTTATTTGATGCAGACGCCAATAAAAATTAGATGCGTGGCGTGGAATTCCTTGAATATTCTTATCATGTGTATGCTGTAAATCAATATATTATTACGTGAAGCAAAAACTTTGTATCCCTTTTTACGAAAATTGCGCGGACGGCGGAGTATGAAATTTTCCACACTTATAGAGAATATAGAGAAGAAGTGCACAATGATAATATTTTTTTTAAATAATGCATAAAAGATACATTAAATCAATAAAGAAAACATTACACACACCACATATTATACCATGTATTTGACGCACACACGCATGCATACTCTTTACTGTCAAACTTTTGTTCTTGACGTCTGTTGTCAAATTGAGATTAAATATTGTTTGTCTTTGTTAATATTTTTTATGTATGTATAGTGTATGTATAGTGTATGTATAGTGTAGTCTTGGCAAAATTTGTGATTACAGAAGTATAAAATACAATCATAATAGTGTACAAACTTACAATTCCAATTAATTATAGTCGAATTCGCGACTACTGCGGGACCTCTAGTCTATACTAATATTATAAAGAGGAAAGATTTGTTTGTTTGTTTGTTTCGAATAGGCTCCGAAACTACTGGACCGATTTGAAAAATTCTTTTTCCATTAGAAGCCGACATTGTCCCTGATGAACATAGGCTGCTTTTTAAAAAAAAAAAATTATTTTATTTTTTTGGTTTCATGTGTGTTTTAATGTTTCCGAAGCGAAGCGAAGGCGGGTCGCTAGTATAATATAAAATGGCAAATTTTGGCGTAAACTTGTCATTTGACTTGTTGAAAATTTGACTTATTCTCGTATACAAAAACGAACTACGAAACACAAGTCAATTTAGTCGTTTAATTTTTAAACTGAAATAGATAAAAAACTAAACCCTCTCAAATAGTGGACACAATGAAAACATGACGAACAAACAAGCTATACAAACTCATAATGAGTCACATTGATTCATGTACACACATACCGAATAGTACGAAGCACATTTAGAATTTAAATTCATAATGATATTACGACATCTATCGAATATGTGATCATATATGTACGTTCCCATAGTAATATTTGAAAACGAGAATGAACAGATTAAATGCTCCATCAATATTTTCTGATATGAAGAATAATTTCTATTACTTGCATGTCACTTTGGAAAAATCTGGCCCGACCCAAAGACACCCGCGCCGTTGCAACAAATGTAATTCATACATTATGAGTTACAGTAGAATCAAAACGATACGGCTACGAGTCCCGTGTCATGTGAAGAACAATTTTATTGATTTTATTTCACCATAAATCGACGGTTTTATTATCATTGTCGATTTAATCTGACATAGGTAGACTATTTTTCTGTTACACTAGTGGTAGGACATCCTGTGAGTCCGCACCGGTCTGCACCTGCCTATTTCTGCCGTGAAGCAGTAATGCGCAGTAATGCGTTAAGGTTTAAAGGGCAGGGCAGCTATTGTACCGTAAAAACTGAGATTTTAGAACTCATATCTCAAAGCGAATGAATTTGCGTTGTAAATCTCTATGTGCTTCGATAACCACTTCACATCAGGTAGGCAATGAACTCGTCACCCAGCTAAGCAATAAAAAATAAAAATAAAAATGTGGCTATTGTAGTGTCCTCATTGTGTGCGTATTTAAATGCTACTAAGGGATTCAGCGGAGAGTGGGCAGCAGCATTCTCTAATTATTGTACCAACTTACTACCATTGCCAATCGGCATTTACTAGGGATAGAGCATCCACACGGGTGGACATCACCAACCTGCCCATTTCTACCGCCAAGCAGTTGAGCGTTTCGTTTTATAAGGTCAAACAACCGTTGTCCTATATATTTGATAGTTCGACCTCATGTCTCAATGCTTACGTTGAGGTGACCATAGAATCATATTTCATATATGTACATACCATATTACATTACATATCATAAATTGTGTTTTTTTACGTATCGTTTCTGAGAAATTCAATACATATGGAACTAAATATCCTATGACAATTCAACGGAATCATTAACTGCATAAAAATGACTACATTACTCATCGTAACTAAGACTGAAAAAATATTAGTCTCACTCCTAAAGCTATTTTAATAGGCTATAAATACAACAGTGTTAATTACGTTACGTTTCCCACACTATACCGTGTACTACTTGCCATGACGTTAAATAAGAAGTTAATTTTAAGTGTTCGAACATTCAAAAGCCCCCTTCAGCCTATGAACTGAAAACATTTGGTCACTCATTCAATTTGGCATGTGTGAGGAGTTAGATTCTGTGACTCAGAACACTTAAAGGTCGGTGACTGTATGATGATTTTTTAACTTGTAGCTTCCGATTTTAAAAGGGCTCTTAATATACATTTATATCTCGAAATATCTCTCCTTGTAGTACTTACTATATGGCGTGTGGTGTGTTCAATGAGATATATCCTAAATACTACCGTAGATCCTTTTTTTTACTACATATTCTGATAGCCTCGAGAGGCTGTTTCAGCTTCTCCTTGACGTGTAGGTGAGCTCACGGGGCTCAAATTGGGATTGTTGCTAACACTGGCCCTGGCAAGAGCAGTGTTTCAGAATCTACCACCGGATTGGAAACGCGACCCACTGAGAAAATCTGGCGAGAAACTCAGTGGGCTGTGTCTATGGGTTAATTTACTGGTCGAGCCCTTCGTCGCAAAGCGACGGGTTCGGCGAGGACGGTGACCGGTGCTTCAGGTACCTAAAAGCACCCTTAATGGATCGGGAGGATCCGTAATGACGTATTTAGGGCGACGACAATTGCTTACCATTCGGTCTACAGGATCGGGTATGAATCCTTAGTATATAGACTTTCCCCTAAAAATTTTGATGTACATATGCGATGTTAATCAATAAAGGCTTGACAGTAGAAAAATACTTAAGTTAGACGAAATATGAAGTCAAGAAATTTATGTTTTTACCTAAAAAGAAGAAGACGTACTTACGGAAGATGTCACAAATTATGGCGAGTGGTTATTATAAGAATTTAAATGGTAAAATCAAAATTGGAATTAAGCGAAATCCAAGCTAAAGCTCGAGTTAAACAACGACCAACGCAGACGACACAGAAACATAATGGCTAATCTAACAATTTCCCACAAAACTTTCAATTCATACTCTCATTCCCACTGATTACAACAGGTACGAAGTTTTGCAACAAACATAATGAGTCTAATGAATCCTAGACGCGGTGCAAAGAGAACTAAAGAAAAATTATGACGTAACACATTTCGTCATACAGGTAAGAGCGAATTATTTTAAGTGTTTCATTTTTTTAAATGTGTGTGAATCTTTATTGTTTACACGCGAAGCTCTTGTGAATTCGTATCATTATTTTGGTCGGTACTAATTTACGATTGTGAGTTATGAATTGTTTTGACCTATTCATGACAGTAGGTTGAACAACGTGTTGCGTGAAAGTCTTCATGTAGATATTCATCTAGAATTCGAATTATTTTTGATTCACGAAAATTATAAATGGATTTTATGAATTCAATGAGCACAGACTCGGGTATTGCAGAGAGAACATTATTTTTTATTGCCCTTGTAGGCAGACGAACATACGGCCCACCTGATGGTGAGAGGTTACCGTCGCCCATGGACTTCAGCAATGCCAGGGGCAGAGCTAAGTATAAAAAATATGGCTTTTAAATCAAACGAATATTCATGCGACCGAGAGCGCTGGCGTTACTTGCCACAAACATTGATTATTTATCAGTACTTGAACAATTTTATTGCAATGTTGATTCAGCCATAAATATCACAAGACCCGCGGGCTGCGACTTTCGAACTGGATAGTCGTGGTCGCCTTAGGGCATGGTCGACTTTCTGAACTGCGACTGTGAAATAAATCAGACACGCAACGTTACTGAATTCATTGCCTACATAAATGTGGACTCTGAGAAGATAATTCCAACACGGACCGCGAAATGTTGATGAAAATCTACATACCGTTTCAATTTGAAGAGCTTTGTTAAGTGCTTTAAGCGTAATCGCCAAATTAAATTATTTTTAATTATTATTATGTTTTTGCCTAAAGAAGAACAAAGATGAAACTTAATTTTTACTTTCAATCTATGATAAATCAACACCTATTGTTTTTTTAATTCTTCGGTGTGAATTTTAAACGAACAAGTTTGTTTTCTCTGTCTTGGTATTTAATATCTACAAATGCATATATTTAATGGTAAATAGGCGTGAATCTCTAATTTCTTACAGTACAGGGAATCCTACTTTGGGCCCAGAGAAACGTGTGTGATTTGTTATTAGAAAAAGAAAAAATAACAATTTTCTGGCTTTGGCTAACATTATCGTAAAGCTAAATAAACGTTAAGATTACTTTAATGCAATTTCTTGTTAAGTATCTGGTATTATTTTCAATCTGGTATCCGTTCTCGCAGATTTATAACGGTGAGAAAACTTCTAATGCCATAACTACATGCTAATTTACTTGTAGATATACTGTAAGAATAGTTGTTATGAAATCTCAACAAATGCATTAAGCCTGTTAAATTTCAAGTCCTCGTCGCGCCCCAACTCTGCCATCCTAAATTGAAAGTGAGATATGAAAAAACAATTTATTTTAAAAACGATATATCAATAATAAATTCAACGGATTAGATGAAGATTGCGGTTAAATAATACATAATGGTAATAAGTAAATTGAAGACTACATTACATAAGTCATAACTGTAGCGCTCTGTAAAAACTGAACTGTCCTCAGTGACCATATAGTGTAAACCAAAAAAAAGATGGCGCAGGATTGTGGCAGCCGAGAATTCTTGATTGTAAATTACACATCCCTGGGGCACCAAAAAAGGGTTCTCCGCAGGCTCCGTACCATATGTAGCGAATCAACTCATTGAATTAATCACTTACCGAGACACGATTAGATTCATGTAATGGAATACTTATGTGAGCTTGCTGAGATATTTAGATACTAAAATATTTTAGCAGCAAACTCATAAAATAATTATGCTGTAAATGTTACTGAACATCATGGCGGTAATAGATTCGTATTAATTCCTTAAACTTTATGTATATATCAAGCAAGATGTTTTAAAAGCTTGAACTTCGTATGGCTTTTTAAGTACAGACCAAACACGATATTTTTGTATTGCCTGGAATACCAGTATCTTTACACGATGGATTCTATACTTTCACACCTTCAAACTGAGAATTTAAAAAATGATAAAAAATGTCAAACTCACCTGGCGGACAGTCACATTCGTATCGGAGTTGATCCAACGGCGTGCACCTTCCATCATGAAGACAGGGAGACGGCTCACAAGGAACATACTCCGCATCACAGTCTCTTCCCGTATACCCAGGTTCACAAACGCACGTATACGAGCCGTGGGTGTTGAAGCATCTACCGTGGTGACATGGACCAGAGCCGCTAGAGCATTCGACAACGTCTTCCGTGCATCGAGAGCCAGTAAATCCAGGTGGACAGACGCAGGAGTAGCCGGCCGCGGTCGTGTTGTCAGCTACACAGCGTCCTCCGTTACGGCATGGCTGAGATGCACAATGGTCTTCGTGGGAGCATTCGACACCTGTGGAAGATAGTATAATGTTTATTGATAACATAATCAAACTACTCAAGAGCAAATTAGGATAAGAATTATAATGGTTCTTAAATGACGATAAAATATTGTGGTGCAAATAAAATGGTCTACAGAACAAAGGTTGATAATGTATGTAGAGTCTCGTCTGTCTATACATATTATATGTGTTTTCTATAGTCACGTCAATCAATTCTAAAAAATTGAGAAAAATAAAAAGTATTTCATTCAAGTAGTCGTTTTCAAATGGTTTCTCCTCAAGCTTTAGCGTCGATTCGGAATGTAGGTTCACCGTTAAGATGATCAGAACGCATTTCACCAAATACTTCAGATATTCCAATGCGAAACCGTATATCATTTTCAAAATCATCCACCTGCTGCCATCGTTAATGATTATTTATTACTGCATTTAAATTTTTATCTAAAATCAAGTTTTTAAAAGACTATATAATATTAATTTATTTAATTGGACATTTTAATGTAAGCTAACTTTTCTCTCAAGAACGCAATCTTTGTAAAATAGATTTGGCACAATTTAATTAAACTAATTTGTAGCATGTTTTATACCAACTTGGCTGGATTCATCAATAAGGACCAATAAAATCTGCGAAGAATTCTAAATTATATCTCACTGTAAATTCTCTTCGTTTTCCAAGTTAAAATTAATTCTACAAATACTTATTACTTTTAAAACCGGTGTTGAAAGTAATCGGGAATATTTCTGATGACATGATCAAGATTATTCAACGCCGGTCATGAAAAATTAACGAGCACGCATATGCCCTGAATTAATTTTGCAAAAACACTTTCGTATCATCATGTATGTTAATAAATGTATACTTAGGGTTTTTTTAATGAAAACGTAAATAAATTTAACCGACGAATTAAAGGCGATCGATGCAGTTGACAACGTTTAAAGCAGCCGGTCACCAATTTAATTGGTTCGCTCATATGACTAATCAACTTGACGTAACGATAAGGAATTCAGTTTTGATTGGCCGAAACAAGCTCAATTGCTGTTGTAATGGTACATTTCAATTAGATGCAAGCTTAAAGACGAATAATGAATTTTTTTTTTTATTGCTTTGATGGGTGGACGAGCTCACAGCCCACCTGGTGTTAAGTGGTTACTGGAGCCCATAGACATCAACAACGTAGACGCGCCACCCACCTTGAGATACAAGTTCTAAAGTCTCAGTATAGTTACAACGGCTGCCCCACCCTTCAAACCGAAACGCATTACTGCTTCACGGCAGAAATAGGCAGGGTGGTGGTACCTACCCGTGCGGACTTACAAGTGGTCCTACCACCAGTAAAAATGATTCTTAAATGATTTTTTCGGAGTGAGAGGAAATTTCTCTTTTTTGTTGTTTTGGTTGATCGAACTTCCGAAACTAAGCTTGGAAATAGCAAAGGAGGTAAATGCGTTCCATTGACATGTCTAACAATCAAACAACTTACCGCTAAAACAATTTTGGAATATAAGCAAAGCAAAAGATGTGTTATTTTTTTAGTCGCCAGTTCGATATAACCAACGAAGAAATCAGTACAAAATGTTTACTTAACAAAACATAAATTGCTTCATTTAATCAAACATTGCCCTCTGGTTTGAGGGCGAGATAGTCCTTACTTCTATGCTGCCCAGACCTCGAGTTAATGTGACCAAAACTGGATCTCTCTGGAGTATCTGGACTGCGCCAGTATAAGGTAACCCATTGAAAAAAAAAGACAATAAGAAAACCAAACCGGAACATTCACGCATCAATTTGCAAAATTACACGGATGCTGGAGACACGAAAATTTAATAAGCGTCACTTTATCTGGTATCTGCCGGTATACCGATACTCGCCTTTCTATTAACTTTCACATACACGCTAATGGATAATTATTCTTAAAACAGCATCACATTATGGTTTGTTATTCAATTATTTTCGGAAATCACAAAATTCGTGTGAACTTAGTATGTGGTAATTATGAATCATGATTTTCTAGAAATAATTTGAAATTACTCGTATATGTATGTATGTGTTGTGGTGTAATTGCAACACTTTTAACTTTAACTAGAGTTCTACCATTGATCGAAATTGGACTTTAACCTCTGATGCCTCCGGATTAAGATATATTTTATGAATTACAATATCTTTTATGTTTTATTACTATCATTTAAAAAAAAAGATAAAGAAGATCGGTAAGCACTATTTCCTACAGTTAATCAAAAGGGCTTCACGATTAATAACTGGAACTAAATAAGTTATTTCAAAATTTTAAATTAACTTATATTGCAACTAATATTTATTATAGATCTTTATATGGAATTTTCAAGAGACACCTTAGAATATTTTCTAGTACAAACGAAAATAAAAAGACATGGTAGTACCACGATAAAGAAAGAATGAAAAGAATTAAGATAAAGTAATAATTTCGCAGAGTAGTGTAGAGTAGAGTAATTTGAAGTGTTTCACAATCTTTATGAAAAAACATCCAATAAAAATAGCCAGACTAATGGTAGCCCTAGTCAAATTAAAATGTTAAAACGTTGGGTAACACTAAACATGACTTGCCGAGTAAACTGCGTTGTAATTCCAATTATCCATCTACTTAACGACAAATCCAGCTAGGAACTTCCGTTCTATCGTCTCGTTCTTGAGTATCGAAATCCTGCACTACATGAAAAAGACGGCAATAAAAACCTAAGTACCTTTACAATATCTAGCGCCACGTTTCCTTCTAATAAGCATCGTTAAAGGTTTTGCTCAGATTATGATCAGTAATAAAATCCCAATACTTATATGTAGTAAATTATGGTTTCCTTGTTTCAACAGTGGGACTTCATAGAATTTTGAACATTTGCCTAGTTAAATGATCATACATATCTTCAAATATCAAAACGTATTTCATTTTAATTTAGTGTAATGTAACCAGCTAATCCATTCGTATGATTTTGGAACTACTCGCGTCCTCTTTATCTACTCGCGTCCTACTTTCATGGCACTATGACAGGAATTCTTCCTAAAGTACCAACAATTGTATGAAGTATGTAGTCCTAAAGCACCACCCTGTCTATTTTCGCCGCAGGAATTTGTTCTGGTTTGAAGGGTGGGGCAGCCTATAGCCCTGATACTTAGACCTCATGTCTCAAGGTAGATGTCGGTATTCTCTTTGTGGACATTACACTTTTCAATCAGAAACGATATGACGTTGCAAATATGCCTCATCCATATAACGACAGTTGATAAAAATGTTGACACCGCCCCCGTTGCTTAATTTTAAATATGAAACAAACAAGATCATCAAATTTTATAACCCATACTCTATCAGATAAAGCGTCACCTCGTTGGTTGGTTAACGATCCCAACTACTGTACAAAAGGTCAAATTCTTGATCAGACTACGTATCTTTAAAAAAAACTAGTCTTGACGTACATCTGTATGTTTTGCTCACACCAATTACAGGGGCAAATTGTGGAAAACCTAGTAGGATTCAGACACTCGTTCTTCGTGACTTGGGATCGTTTGCTCATTAGAGTGAACTTCCCAAAAACCCAAACATTTTCGAATCATACAAGTAAATCAATGTCGTATCTCAAACTTGTCGTGGTGTTTTACGACTCTCTACGACATCTGAAAGACATGGACCATAAAAACTAACTGGCTATAAAAATTACAAATATCAACAACGCTGGACACTATTGGATTGGTACCATACTGGTACCTGGCACCTTGATTGATGAGTTTTTATTCTTAAGAAACGAAAAATAAATTTAGATTTTTAGTAAAGTTGATAAAAATCAAGTCATAAATTCATCACTTGGATTGTAACTTTAAATGTTTGCTTTTTTATTGCTAAAACTGGCTTGATGGGATAGATTGGGATCGTATAAGATTATTTACACTATCCTTTTTTGTTCATCAGGGTAGTCTTCTGCAGTAAGCACGCTGGACAGAGGCAAAACAAGGTATTAGTTTATTTTATTAATTTACTAGACTTTTATGAGTAAACGGACTGCTGTTAATGACAGTTTTTATTTCCATAAATGGACGGAGTTATTATTATATGGAACCAACTGATACAACAAAGTAATTGACACCGTCTACCTTGAGAAGTTGCTTCGTGACAAAAATAGGCAAAGCGCTTGGGATCAAGAAGTTGCTTGCAAAACGCCACTATATAGGTCCGTATATCTTCCGGTTACACCGGAATTTTAAAACGCATCAGATGAGGTACCATCATAACTATAAGATATTTGTCAAAAAAAAATAACAACAAAAGAGAATGATACATGAACACATAAAATGCTAACTGCAATTAACTCTCTTTCAACTTTATCAAAGTAGAGAATACGTAACGGCTTTTAACTAACTACTTTCAAAGATACATAGATTTTATTATTCGATGAATCGAGACATTAATTGCAGTAGTGTAAATCATTTGAGGTAACATTACTTAAGAACAGGTTGCGCCTTAAGCTATCGATCAGTTTCGCTTTTTGATGACCTCGTTTTGTTTAGATAACGGATATAACAGACTATATACATTTTTGGGGTGTCAAAAGTTTGGTTATTAATTTATGGGCATCTCGGTGAACAAGATATCGTATGTTGAATCAAAAATTATATGTAAATATATAGTAGAAATCTCTTAGACTGGTAGAATGCTGCGCTGTCCCTAAAGATTAAGTTAATCGATAGATATGCTTTTTTTCTTATAGGGTAACAATAATTATTGGCAACTGCATTGAAAGAAATGAGTAAGGAGGGTCAAAAACCGAGCTATGTGGTGTCAATTGTTGGAGGCTTATGTCTAGCAGTGGATGACTATGGATTCATGATCATGGAGATATGTATTCAAACAGACAGGCAAGAGATAAGGTCTATTAATTCATGTAAACTGTTGCAAATTTTGAGTTTTAGTACTCTCGCCAAATTAGCATAACCCTATGAATAAGAAAATAAAATTGCTTTAAGCCAGATTACTGACTAGGTGCATGATATCAACCCGTGTGGGCTCTAGAAGCTTAATTATCATCCTCTTATCTTCAATCTTCGTTGCCTATCCAAACAGAATCCTGATCAAGGCTTCTAAATTAACATACAACACAAATTCCTCTTATTTATAAATGTTGTGGTATAAACCCAATCTATAATTACGTTTGATTATCACTCTCACGCGGATAAGAGATTTAAAAGAATGAAGAATTATTTAAGTGTGTAGTACTTAAATGTACAGTGTACTGTACAGTGCCTTTGTACATAATTTTCCTATTACACTGTAATATATCTTCTTTTTTGTGTGTACATAAATAAATAAATAAAAAATTTGAGACAGTGGTTATATTAATCTATACTAATATATAAATCTACAGTGGTTTTTACGGATGTTCCGTTATAACTACTGAACCATGCATCCGATTGACTATTGGTATCCATGTAGAAAATACATGTACTTAATGGATAGGCTAATATTTAAACGAGTGTTGGACTCCCTACACCAGTTGCGGGGGCGTTAATGATGAGAATCTTTGTGGGGTGAGCAATAACAATGTTAATTTTAAATGCCCAGCGAAGCGGACGGGTACAGCTAGTTATGTAATAATTTTACACAGATCGAAGACATAATTAAAAGGTAAATTATCTAAATGGCAACAAGGAGGCAGCATTTATTGTCAGGTATACTCATAGGTGTTACTATCGGGCTTATTTCGGCCGTGGAGCAGTTATATGAACCGGGCTGAACGGTGGAACAGCTTGTGGTATCTAGGACCTTCGATATCTACATTACACCAAGTAGACCGTGAGCACGTTTACTGGCGGTAGGACCTCTTGTGAGGCCGCACGGGTAGGTACCACCACCCTGCCTATTTCTGCCGTGAAGCAGTAATACGTTTTGGTTTGAAGGGTGGGGCAGCCGTTGTAACTATACTGAGACTTTAAAACTTATATCTCAAGGTGAGTGGCGCATTTACGTTGTAGATGTCTATAGGCTCCAGTAACCACACCAGGTGGGCTGTGAGCTCGTCCACCCATCTAAGCAATAAAAAAACAAAGTTGTCCTATTTCGTGTGGTAATAAAAAGTGATATTAATTCGCAAAAATAATGTTCTACCAACTTAATAATTTTATTAAATACCTTTTGGTGAAATTAAACAAAGTTCTACGCCAAACGAAACTTATTATATTAGTTGCACGGTACATAACTACAGAAAGCTGGACTCGTAAAGCTGGGTCTTCGTAGTCCGGGCAACTTAAAAAGCTGTTGGATCTCAATTAAATCAATTATAAATTCTCAGGCTGAGCTCAAACCCGTTCCAAAGTAATCCCCATTAGGTTTTTCAAGCTGTTATGACATAGTCGAATTCCATCGTTGTCATTCAGATTTATAATGATTACAATATTGATAATCGCAAAGGCTAATGAGATATGAATTTAAAAAAAGTGAGATCACTGGAACTGGTAGAGATGTGTCCTTTGTTGGACAATCGTAACTATGCCGAATGTTATGGTATATTTAAATCTTAAAAGGACATTTGCAATAGGCTCAAAATGGCATGTGAGTGAGTATACGGCTTTAAAAATATATGTTTCTTTTTAGTTTGTTAATTTAGTTTATTATTATTCAAAAAGCTATGAGTACACTGGACGTATGGCGTATAAAGTCACGAATGCTTTAAAGCCAGGTCCAGCTCTTGAATAGTCGTAAAGTTCATGCTGCTTCACGTGTCTTTCTCTCTTCGGAGGCGCCGGAGCCCGACATTAATCCATCCGATCTCCATCAGCCGGGTATCCGAAAATGTTTTTCTCAACAATAAAAAGTCCAAATCTTGTTACCTTTTGATTGAATGTTTCACGAGTAAGGCTGTTTCAGAAAACTCACGTAATGAAAAAGGATTTAAAAAAGGACATACCTGTGTATCCAGGAGGGCAATCACACTCGTAGGTCTCAATAGAGGTGAGCCGACACGTGGCTCCATTAAGGCAAGGCGCAGAGTCGCATGCTGCTGGTACTCTGATCTCGCATAACGAAGCGCTGAACCCCAAGGGACAATCACAGGCGAAAGACGGGGGGCCGCCGCCGACTCCGGGTCTGACCCGACAAGTACCGCCATTCTGGCATCTCGAGCTCGACTCGCTATGACAAGGGTTTAGGTGTTGGCAGAATTCACCGGCGTATCTTGTGGTGCAGCTGAAACAAAAGACAATCATTTCAATTTCATTCAATTAAATTAACGATTAATCTGTAAATTGTAATTATTTGCTCTAAAAAATGCAATATAAATACTATGTTACTATTACTAGCGAGAAAGACGAAAGCGTAATTGTAATTAACGCAGCGTCTAATCTCGTCTTTTCGCATTAAAAGTGTACAATTTCTAAAAATATTCGAAATTGAGTTAATATGCGGAATCATTTGGTATCACGAGTATTTTTCTAATAATGTCAAAGAGGGCATTGTTTAGTTTTAGTTTTTTTTTTAGTTTATTTATGTTTTGACTACTATTAACAAAATTAAAACATAATTTTATCTTACTTTAAAAGACAGATAATGTAACTGGTACAAAATAAAAAATAGATTTTACAAAGATTAAAAATAATCACATGTTAAACCTTTAAAACACTCTCCGGTAAAATTAGTAAGTTTAGAGATTATATAGTTTTAATGCGATATATGCGGCATGATGCAGCGTCTAGTATAAGTTTATAGTATGCATATCTAAGCTAAATTATTCAATGAGCCGAGTATCTGAAATAAATATACATATGTATGCACCGATTTCCGTAGCAGATGCGCCTCGAGTGGCGGACGTCAACAATAAATAAAGCAGATACGTCGCGACACGACATGCGCCCGCGCCTAGAAAATCGCTTTCGTACTACATGTGAAGCGCTAGACGCTTAGGTAGTTCTATTTTTTTTAATCACGTGGACCGTAAAAGTTTTATAGGGACTAGTGATCCCGCAGTAGTCGAAATTCGACTTAAACCAATTCAAATTCTATGTTTAAACATTATTATGGTTCTATTGTCAAATACTATTATACTCATATAATATAATCACAGATTTCGCCAAAACTACACTATACATAAATACTAATAAAGACAAACAATATTCGTCTCTATTCTCAATTTGACCACAGACTTTAAATACTAACAAAAGTTTGACAATTGACAATAAACAAAGAGTATATTTATATAATATATATGTGTTGTGTCAAATACATGGTAGTGTGTGTAATGTTTTCTTTATTGAATTAATGTATCTTTTATGCATTATTAAAAAAAAACATTAACGTTGTGCACTTCTTCTCTATATCTATACTAATATTATAAAGAGGAAAGATTTGTTTGTTTGTTTGTTTCGAATAGGCTCCGAAACTACTGGACCGATTTGAAAAATTCTTTTTCCATTAGAAGCCGACATTGTCCCTGATGAACATAGGCTACTTTTTTTAAATTTATTTTATTTTATTTTTTTGGTTTCATGTGTGTTTTAATGTTTCCGAAGCGAAGCGAGGGCGGGTCGCTAGTTCTCTATAAGTGTGGAAAATTTCATACTCCTCCGTCCGTGCAATTTTCGTAAAAAGGGATACAAAGTTTTTGCTTCACGTATTAATATATAGATATTATTTTAAAAAATTTCGTGTACAGCAGAAATCAGACAGACCCAGGACGACAAAAGATTTTAAATGAAAATCACATTTCATCATATTCCTCTTTGCAGAAAACAGGTTGGATGAGGTCGCGATTGTGATTATTCTGTTTTTTTTTGTTGGCTACCTAATTACCATTAGCTTCGAGGGATTATTCTGAAATCTAAAATATTCAGTAAGCATGATTTACGATTATTATTAATGGTAACGTATTAACCCATTCTCTTGCACACACACACATGTTTTTCAGAAGTTTTATTACAAGAATTGCGTATTAAATCATCATCAACGTTTTGAAGCGCGGATACATCGTGCACTTAGGATATTGATTTACATATCCGCTGTATCGTTTTGATTATCGTGTTTCTTTAAAATTTATAGTCGAATCTCAATATAGTATGTTTTACGTACATTTCTATAGATTTTATCGATCGATAGATAAATTCTGCCCACGTACAAAATCGAGCTGGTCATGTAATATTTGAATGTTGAATGATTTGTCTATAATTGTAGGTTAAGAGACTGGAGTGTGTATATGAAAATTTATAGACGAATTCGTGATTAACGAACAACATCCATTCTTTTTATATAAGAAATATTTATGTTTTGTTTATTTGTTTCACGTTTTAACTACACAACTAATCATTATTAAATATTACACAGTGGTTGTCCGAATAGACAAAAAGGGAGATCAGAGGTAATACTTAAAAAAAAACGGACTATCATCAGCCTATAGCAGTCCACTGCTGGATATAGGCATCTCCAATTGTTCGCCACTGAGCACGATCCTCCTTAATATTTAGATTATGTAGGCTACTAGAAAAGCAATCGAATGTGATCTAACGGTTGAAAGTAAATATGAACATGTCATAAAGTGTCTTCGATTTTGGTCTTCAACTTTACCCTCGTTCGAGGTTCTTATCAGAATCATATCTTCAACTACGGAATCTCCGTCACCGCCTATGGTGCCGAGATCTTGTATCAAACTAAACATAATACCCGCCCACGTACGCTAAACTATCTTAGTTAAACGAAGTAAATTCTATTTATTACCAACGACGGTAACACACCAGGCGTTTGTGGGAAAATGAACAACGCCACATCACGTCCTATCGGAACGTATTCATGATAATTTCAGTTTAACATCCATAAAATCATATTGGTTTTTGATTATACATTCATTAGGCAGTGTTTATTTTAATTCATTAAGGTGTCTCGTATTAATATTTCACATCGAAACGTTATCTTTATAAATATTATTTTCATCAGAGTCTATACGACGTATACTGATGTTGGATAGGTTAGATAAGTGGTATGACATATTAAATTCCAATAAGGTTCTGTTTAAAAAACAATAAAATATGAAATTAAGACAAATGAAAAAGATAAGAAAACTTTTGGTTTATCCAGAGACATTTAACACGCTAGTTTTGTGAGGCTAACATCATCAAGTGTATTTGCAATTCCAAATTACCGTCTATTGAGAAATAGACTCATAACAACTCTAAAAATGTATTCAATTTTAAAACTAGTTTTGTTGCTAAACTATTTGTTGATTTGTGATGGCCCTAGTAAGCGACCGGCGTGAAATATTAATTATAGTAATACATATTATTAATATCAATTACAAATATTATTAATAACTAGCTGACCCGGCAGACTTCGTAGTGCCTCAATCGATCAATAAAAGACCTAAACATTTGTATAAAATAAACTTAAAACAAACATAAGGAATCCGTCCGACGGTGGACACATCAAAGAAAAAACAAAATTGTTATTTTTATTTAATTCCGAGCATTTTCATATTTATCTATCTTTTAAACCTTCTCTGGACTTCCACAAATAATTCAAGACCAAAATTAGCCAAATCGGTCCAGCCGTTCTCGAGTTTTAGCAAGACTGACGAACACCAATTCATTTTTATATATATAGATAGATAGATAGCCAAAATAGTAAATTTGCATGTCCTAACCATACGATATACATACATACTATACCCTATACAATATTTACGAAGGTCATTACTTCTGTAACTACTTTGTCATTATGCTGATTCACGCTACTTACTAATTTCAACGTATGGACCATTTTTTTTATCAAAGAACGTTCTAAAAGCCTCTAAAAATCTTGTTATTAAATCCCTAGTTCAACAAACAGTTTCTTACATGCTATCTGCATACATTTATCACTCCGAAAAATTCTTCGGGGCGATGTTCATTCTGTAAATATTTACTAAAGTGAATTTCAAAGAATCACTTGCAGATACGACGCAACATCCCATTGTAAGAATACCAACATTAAACTTGAAGGGAACCTGTATGTTCCGAGACGTGGGTGGAATCACGAAGCCTGTTTCACCCACGCACTGACCCCAGAGAGGGTGAAGTCTTACCAGGATGATGTGTTGCGAAAGTTCGTCGTTCTTGACTTTATCAAAATGTGAGAAGCGTTTATTGCTCTCTGTTTATTTCTGGTCACAACTATAGATGGATTTCAATATCGTATTGAACTATCTATTAAAACTAGTGTTCGCGAAATTATCTAAATTACGAGCATGATAACTGGCACATTGAGAGATTTGGATTCATTTTGTATATTACATAGTCTCTTGTGTTCCATTATTGAAAACTCGAAAGCTAATTGAGCTAGCCAATAAAAATAACTGAGGCTAACGATCTATAGCATGCTTATAATAAATCGCAAATCAAAAGACGAATCTTAGCAAAAACAACGTTGTTATTGTCATTGAAACATAAACAATTGAATTGACCAATAAAGAATACCTTCGTGATCGGTTAATTCTCACTAATTAAGCCCCAACAAAGTTTAGTCCACTCGCAAAAAGATGATACACGAAAGATTGTCTATAAAAATTATAACCGGTCGTTGAACAAAGCCTCCGAGGGATAGCCATTTGGCTAAATCTTCATTAAAGAACTTACGGGAAATATATTATCAATTATTTATAACCATAAATCAGACATAGTGCATTAAAAGTTTATATTTTTAAAGTTAGTATTTTTAAATGTAACAGTCTCACTCACATGTCACTATTTAATCAAGAGCATTCAAACATGGATAACACCTAGCATATACAACTAGAAATATTATTCCAAAAAAAATATTGAAAAGAATACAACATTTCAAAAATGTTAATGGTTATACTATTGGTAATGGGTAAAATTTACATTGGCGGACTTAAATGCCTAAGGCATTCTTTATCAGTCAGCCAAAATGTAATGCAGAGTAAATAATGGTAAAAAATAATTGTAGGTGCAATAAAATCTATATTAAATTACAAGTACATATACATATAATAGTTTATACAGTATTCAGTATTATACATAGTATTTTAAATAGATATAATAAGAACTACAAAAGTATAAGGTACACAATAGCTAATAGAACAAAAGCCAACCTAATTCGTTATTACAGAAACGATAGTCGGAACCATTAATTATACTGGGGACACCGGACGCCATGTCGCTGTAGGCGCAATGTTGCCAGCAATAAATAAATAGTGTTGCGTGCTTGTT